GGGCTACTTTTTACATACTATGGTGATAGTGTCATTAGGTCTGCCTTCAGTAATGACTGAGGTGGGGTGGGTGTCAGGATGGGAATGGCTGGTTCAGGAAGCAGACACTTTCCTATAGCAGAAAATGCACCGTAACATTCATAACCAATGAGATGTTTCCATGGGTCTTTCTCTTTCAGCATCCACTGGTGAGGCTAAAGGGTGGAGCCAAGACAGGAGAAGGCCGTGTTGAAGTGCTAAAGAACAGGGAATGGGGAACCATCTGCCATGACCAGTGGAGCCTGGTTGCAGCCAGTGTGGTCTGTCGAGAGCTGGGCTTCGGAAGCGCCCAGGAGGCTATTTCAGGCGCAAGGCTCGGGCAAGGTAAGATGCTTAAAAGGAAAGTGTCTTCGGAGAGGGTAAAGGGGATAGGAGGAAGAGGAAGAGGAAGAAGAAGAAGCAAGTCACTTGAGTGGCAGCCTATGTCCTTTTCAAAGAAAGAAACATACATTAAAAAATTCTCTTGGATCAAACCAGAGGTCCATCTATGTTGCTTTTCCACCGAGGTTGGACAGATGCTTTTGGAGGAGGGTATAAAGGAGGGCATAGGCCATAGCTGTCCCCCACTGTTGCTCCCCGAGAACTGGTATTCAGAGCTGTCTCTTAACCCGGGAATCCTATTTTATTTATTAATTATTATTATTTATTAAATCGAATTTCTTAATTGCCTAATCTCTGTAGGACAAGGCTCTAGGCGATGTACATGGTTTTAAAAGCAATCAGAAGCATTTTAAAAACAATTAAACATCAATACATAAATCCCAGATGGTGCTAATATGTACATTTTTCTCCAACTTACTCTGGACTGTGCTTTCTTCCCGTGGGTGGGGGAGGGAGAGAAGGCTGAAAAAGCAGGGGCAGAGAAAAGGTGAAGGGAGCCAGCAAGATGGAACCACGCTGCCCTCAACCAAAGGCCTGGTGGAACACTTCTGCCTTGCAGGCCCTGCGGAATTGCATTAAATCCCGCAGGGCCCTAGTGGAATTTGGCCGAGAGTTCCACCAGACTGGAGCCAGAGCCAAAAAAGCCCTGGGTCTGGTCGGGGACAGCTGGATATCCTTAGGGCCAGGGATCACCAGTAAGTTGTTCTCTGCAGAGCATAATGCTTGTAGTCATCATGGCTAATGGCCTGTGTGATATAACCTATCCTCCATGAGTTTGCCTACTCCCCTTTTAAAACCATGTAAGGTTTAGTCTAAGCCATGCAGGCATCACGTGACATATTCATTTGTTTAGAAGAATTTACCACCTCAGGAATGGACCTCAACAGTTTTGTTAGGGGGCCCCCCGTGGTCTTTTCAACCTGTAGCAATTAGAACATCTACATTTTACTCCCAGGAAGGGAAGTCTTCAGTATCATTTGGCCATCAAGTTTTGATTTCAAATCGTCTGAAAGAATGGAAACTATTTAGCTGTCTGTATCTGTGGGTTCTCCTTCCAAAGTACTGACTTCTGCAACTTCCTTTAGGAAGCTTGCAATGGCTTATGCTATTGGGCCCTGGGGAGAATGTTGTTATTTTTTTCCTAATCCTTTACACCACAGAGTGCAAACAATGTTTTACACTAGTCGCAGACATCACATCATCAGCCTGGAATGCAGTGAGTATATTGTCTAGCCTTAGATAATGAGCGCCATCACATCCATTCCATAAATGAATTCCATAAGCTAATTATGTATTATGTAATGGATGCATTCCCACTTAAAGAGCAGGTTGGCAGCTTTGGAGTGCTGTTAGATCCAGGGCTTCAGATGGAGGTGCAACTGTTGCCCATAGTACCTTTAGCCAGATTTGGTTGATTTGTTAGCTGCAGTGTTTCCTTGAGAGGCATGATTTGGCTACAGGTATCCACACTCAGATTACATCCCGTTTGAATTGCTGCCATGTGCTCAACCTTTGAAGACTGTTAAGTAGCTTCAGCTGGTTCAAAGCATGGTCCTAAGATGGCTTGCCAGACTGAGTTATAGAAGTCATATTATACCAGTTGTAAGAGAGACGTGTCGGCTGCAAGTTTGCTTCCCTGCACAATTCAAAGTGCTGATTATTACCTGTAAAGCTCTATAGGGTCCTGGGCCTGCCAGCCAGTTTTCTTCAGTTCAATGCACCCTCTTGGTAGATGCAAGATTGGTGAGCACCAGAGACTGAGTTCATGGAACTCCCTCCCCAAAGAGGCTCACCTGGCACTGACACCAGCTTTCAAGTAACAGGCAAAGACATATTTATCATGTGTTTGAGTCTTTTCTGTCCCCCAAGGGTGAAAGTAACTTAAATTTCTTACTGGTACTGTCTCTTGGAGTGGGGCTTGAAGCAGAAGACTGGAGGTACCACTTTAGCCTCTTTCTTTCTGGTATGCAGTACTGGGTAACTTTCACCCTAGTCTGCTCTGCTGCTGGTTTTACTTTGCATTCTTATTGACGAGTTCTGGATGCAAAGATGGTTTGGGCATACTATTTTTGGCTATGATTTCTGCTCGCATTTTAATTGGCTCTCATGTTGCCCTTGCTTTTTATGATCTTATGCTGTTGGTTTGTTTAATTGGTCTATTATTTTAATTGCTATTGATTTATTGTTTTAATTGCTTTGCCCAGGGTGTTGTGAACTGCATGTAGGATACTTTATAGATAGGCAGGATGCAAATATTTTAAATAAACTAATATCATGGACCATACTTACAGACTTGAATGCTACACATTTCTCATTTTCCTCTCCTCTCCCCATCCATCTTAAATATTTTAGGATCAACCTATTAGTAATATATCAGAAAATACCTGCTGAAGGCTGGCTCTTGATTTCCAAAATCCTCAAGGCCTGTCCCCTGCTTCTTATATGTGTGGGGAGATACATTACCAAACCAAACAAAACAAAACAAAATTAATAGGTGAAGTGCTTCCAGAACTATGTGGTTTGGGGAAGGAGAAGGAAAATTAATTTAAAAGCATGAGAAATATTGTGGCTCTCTGGAATCTTGAAAACATGAGTATGCCAGCCAAAGTGCACGCAGAGTGCTCTGCTATGTAATTGCCGCTACAACTACGGAAGCACCAGCATCACACGAAAATTTTTGACTGCAACGTGATGGGCTGGAGCGTGCTGCCTCTTGCCACATTGCACAGCTGGAGCCTGGAAACTTTAGGCATCTGCTCTGGTGCTTTGATTTTCAAGGGCCCAAGCCAATATCAGTCCTGAGAATTAGTATTTCAGAAGATGCCACCTCTTAGAGAAGCAAGTTAGCATCTGCTTGTTTGATGGAAGAAAAGAAGAGCCAAGAGTTGCTAGATCACTGCAGAAAGGAAATGTCCCCTCTTCAGAGGTTCATGTGTCGACAGTTCATCTGGTTTTATCTCAGCATGCTCATCAAACTACAATTCTTCAGAGAAATCCCAGGACAGTAGTATAAGGCCAATATACATCTGTAGTATAGATAGGTCTTTTATGGGTTTCCTGCATGTTCTCCTCTAGATTCTTCTTTGGGTTGCGTGATTTCTTTTAAAAACACTAAATATTTGCACAGCTAGCTGTGCAATGCTGTGCAATGCAGTACATTTCCTTGTGTTCATAAAAAGGGATGTGTAAGATTTGTAAGAGCTGTATGTGTAAGAGCTGCGGTGGCTCAAGTGGTTAAGACGCTGAACTGCAGGCTGTGGAAGGTCAGTAGTTCAGCAGTTCAAGACCCGTGTGCCGCAAGACGGGGTGAGCTCCTGTCTCTAGTTCCAGCTCCTGCCAACCTAGCAGTTTGAAAGCAAGAAATTGCAAGTAGATAAATAGGTACCACTTCGGTGGGAAGGTAACAGCGTTCCGTGCGCCTTGGTGTTTAGTCATGCCGGCCACATGACCACGGAAACGTCTTCGGACAGCGCAGGCTCTTCGGCTTTGAAACGGAGATGAGCACCGCAACCCTAGAGTCGGATTCGACTGGCTTTCGAGCAAGGGAACCTTTACCTTTACCTTTACCTTTAAGATTTGGAAGCAGTGAGGATTGTGGAATGTCAGAAAGCAGCCAAATGTCAGAAAGAAGCCAAAAACAAAAAAGTAGGTTGCATAATAGTGTAGTGTATTTACTTACTTCATATATACTTCATATATGTTCACTTCATATGTAGTCTGCTTTTCTCATTAAGACTCAAGGTGGATTACAAACTATAGAAAATTATTAAATCAGACAGCACAAGATATCCAGTAAACAATGCAACAGGATTGCAGAAATTAGGAAACCATGCCAACAGAAAACTGGCTAAGGCATGATGTCCCAAAATGAGTGCACAAATGCACACATTCAGCAACATCAGGAGAGCCCTTCTCTTTGCCAGGGTTCCATTATGGAATTTGGTGTTCCTTTTGGGATTCGCAGCAGTGATGCGACGTGGAATCCTGGTGCTTCTCCCTTAGGATGATGTTACTGCCCATATTTTGGCCAAGAAAGGAGCAGTCAGTGCTCCACAAAGCATCTCTTTTTCTAGGGGCATAGAAAGCATAATTAATTTAGACTCTTCCAGAACACATTAGGGTGCACCAGAACACAGTGCTGGAATACCAGATCTCAGTAAATGCATGACCATCAGGGGAATAAGACCCCCCCCAAAAAAATTGCTATTATGCTAATGAGGGGGAAATTGTATTTTGTAGTAAAAGAATCTCCCGCATTCAAGCTCAGACATCTTGTGAAATCCCTGTATCCTTGGAATCATTGTTAAGGTCAAAACAATTCTGGAATTCTCAAGTGACCCACCTGTATTTGGGATTGTTTGTTTTTCTGTTGTTGTCCGGGCAAAAGCGCCTTTGTTCCCAGTTAAATGTCAGAATTTGATCAACTGTCTGTTATGTTGTCTGGGCAAAAGCGTCTTTGTTCCTTGCTAAATGTCAGAATTTGATCAACTGCAGGTTCCTGTCAAAAAAAAAATTGCCAAAAAACCCAAAATAAAAAACAAAAACAAAAAAAGTGGGAGGAGATGTATGTTTTGCTTCCAAGTCTCCAGCTGAAGTTTGTAAATGATAGAAAAGTGGAACACTGGACTTTCTTCTCTTTCTGGCATTTTTTTAAAAACCAGCTCCTGGAAAAAATGTGTCAAGCTGTAAAAACAAGCCACAAGAAGACCGTAGCTAAAATTCCAGATCTTTCAACTCTGGAAATCCTCCTGAGGTGGTATTTGGAGCTTCTGGATTTAGATTTGATATGACCAGAGTGAAAGAAACTCAAAATGTCCTTGTCTGATTTGCCTGTGGAAAACTAAGAGAGTGTACTTCTTTCTCTTAAAGGACTGGGCCTCATCCATCTCAATGAAGTGGAATGCTTGGGTTATGAAAAGTCCATCACAGACTGCAAATTCACCACTGACACACAGAGATGCAGCCATGAAGAAGATGCTAGTGTGAGATGTAATGTCCCAGCCATGGGTTTCCAGAACCAGGTGAGGAGCAGATACATATGCCTAATCATGGAAATAAAAACAATATGGTCGCTCACAACCTTGCTCTCTGTGCCAGGGGTCCCAACCTCTTTGAGCCCGCAGCCACCTTTGGAATCCTGGCACAAGGCAGAGGATGCAACCACAAAATGGTTGCCGTGAGATCCAGAACCAAACCACAAAATATCAGGGAGTGAGGTTATGCATAACTAATAGTATCTCTTCAGCATTTCAGGCAGAAGCTCTGTTTAACAGGATGCCTTTTTAAATGAACATATTGTTTTAAAGGGAAGCTGTGGTAGTAGCTGCTGCCAAAACAACATCTTTAAAAACCTGCACAGCCAATCAGAACTCCAGTGGCCAGTCGAAGTCCTGCTGGGCAAAAGCCCCAGCTGGCCCCTCTTACTTACTAAAAAAAATGGTGGGCACCAGGAAAGATGTCAGCACTCTGGGGACCACTGCTCTATGCTATAGAATTTATAACAAAGTAAACATTGTTATAAATTCCAGAGCAGTAGTTGTAGTAGCTCATTACAGTAAAAAGAAAAAGGAGATTGTGGTACCTTAAAGGCAGGGGCTGCTTTCAGACATTAAATAAACCCTGATTTGTCTAAATGGTTCTTTGGGCTACCAGACATAAGTAATAGATCCCAGTGTGGGCATGACCCCTTCATGCCTCTCCTCTATCTCCTCATGCTGGCTTTTCTGTGGCCATTGCTCTAAGAGGTAGTGCTACGTAGCCAACTGTGGTTTGTGAATTCAGATGTCACAGGAAACCACAATTAGAACTAACTGTGGTTGAGAAATCAGCTATAAAACCCACCGTGAAACTCCAGTCTGGCAGTGACCAACAAAACCCAGTTTGTTGGACCATCTGCATTCAGACATCACAGCTAACTGTGTTTTAAACAAGCCATAGATAATAAATAGGGATGGGCTTGAACCAGGAAAATGGTGGTTCGTGGTGGTTTGTGATTCGTTTGATGACACGAACCATGCGCTTTCACAAACTCCTCCCATTTCCCAAACCGGTTCATGGTTCATTCAGTTCATGAGTTTGGGAGGTCATAGAACAGCCCCCTCACAAGTTAGAGATGCCAAACTCACAGGAAGTCTTCAGCAGGCTCTTCTCCATGTGCCATCCAGGTCTGGCAAAGATTGGATTTGGGATGTCTGTGTTATAGCCCAACAAAGCAGGTGCCCACAGGAAAGCTCAGCTCTAGACTCCCCTTAAATTAGCCAGGCAGCAGGCAATTCTTCCTGACTTGCTCCTGTCTCTTCCTGCTGCAAAGTGAAAGCAGCTGAGTCAGAGTGAGATAGATAGATATAGATATATGTTGTTGTTGTTCAGTCGCACAGTCGCGACCCCATGGACCAGATCACACCAGGCCCTCCTGTCTTCCGCTGTCCTCCGAAGCTTGCTCAATTTCATGTTCGTTGCATCTATGACACTGTCTAACCATCTCATTCTTTGCCGTCCCCTTCTTCTTTCCCAGCATCAGGGTCTTCTCCAGTGAGTGCTCCCTTCTCATTTGGTGGCCAAAGTATTTGAGCTTCAACTTCAGGATCTGGCCTTCCAGGGAACAGTCATGGTTGATTTCTTTTAGGATTGACTGATTTAATCTCCTTGCAGTCCAAGGGACTCTCAAGAGTCTTCTCCAGCACCATAATTAAAAAGAATCTATTCTTCGGCACGGGGCCACGGTCATCCGAGGGAAAACTCTATGGTTTTCCCTTGGATAGTCGTGGCCCCGCCCCAGCGTGCCCGGCGTTGTCACGTCACTTCTGGGTGACGTGCGTGCGGCGCGCACGCGCGCACTCCAGCCACAAGCCGGGAGTCCCACGCTGCAGCTCAAAAAGCACTTGGCAACCCTAAGCACCATAGTTCAAAAGAATCTATTCTTCGGCGCTTGGCCTTCCTTATAGTCCAACTTTCGCAGCCATACATTATATAGAGATATATACATACACACAATCTGTTCCCATAGACTGCTATGGGTGTTTCTAGGGCTCTCCACAAGTCTATCCCCAGTGTTGCCTAGGAATTGATTGAATCTGTGCCAGGCTGTCTGGAGGACAAACTGCTCTAATGAACCAAATGAACCTCCACAGGAAAAGGTGGTTCGTTTTTCGTTTCGGGAACAATGCAACCAAACGGCATGAATTGGCCTGGTTTGTGCTTGAATTGTGATTCGTTTCTCAGTTCATGCCCATCTCTAATAATAAACCATGGTGTATTGTGATGGCAGAGTGTGGCTGAACAGAACTTATTGTGAAATAAGCTTGCAATGACTAGATGAGAGCCCATTTTGTAGGTTCATGAAAATGTAGGCCACAATAATTCTTTCTTTCAGATGCCACAGCACTCCTTTTTTGTTTTTTTATATCTAGGTCTGTATGGTACAGTTACTTCCAGTGCAATAATCTGACAATTGCCACTTCTCATACAATCAAGTACAAGGAACATTGTCTTTGATAAAGAGGATCTAGCCAACTGAGAGCTAATTCACATAAACATGCAGAAAAGCCACTGCTTTTCCTCATGTGCTGCATTCATTTCCTGTTTGGCAAGAGGATTCAAGTTAAGACTTGCTGTGGATGAACTGCAGAGCTGTTTAACCCTGGTTATGTCAGGGCCTATAGCTCAGAGATCAGATCTACACTTCGCATGCAGAAGGTTCCAGGTCCAATCCCTGGCATCTCCAGTTAAAAGGATTTCAGGCTGCAAGTCACAGGAAAAATTCTTGGTGGATTATGCTTGAGGCTTTCTATTCTGTGTTCTGCCCTGCACTCACCATATCCCACAAGATAATATTTTGGAGTTGTTGTTGTTCCTTTTTTTCTCCATTTTCAATACATTAACAAGTTATGATCACACAGTTTTAAAAAGAGAAATGTTTAGCATGAGGCTATGTTCTTTTGTTCCATAATAATATTCTGGGGGAGGCAACTTACTTGTTATCTATGTTGCTAAGGAAACACCATAAGGAAATACAAGGGATGTCAGAAACACCTGAAAAGATGCCCATGTATTTGTAGCTACTTGTAGCTGTACCTGTTTAGGAGAGAAGTTAGTGGCAAAAAATTATGGATGCCTCCAGCCTAGCAAAGAACAACAGGATTTGCCACTGAACAGCTATTTGTATCTGAGTAGGCCTCTCAGAGTTGCGCCGCTGGTGTAGTGGTATCATGCAAGATTCCCATTCTTGCGACCTGGGTTCGATTCCCGGGCGGCGCAACAAATTCTTTTAGGAGCTGCGGTGGCTCAAGTGGTTAAGACGCTGAACTGCAGGCTGTGGAAGGTCAGTAGTTCAGCAGTTCGAGACCCGGGTGCCGCATGATGGAGTGAGCTCCCATCTCTAGTTCCAGCTCCTGCCAACCTAGCAGTTTGAAAGCAAGAAATTGCAAGTAGATAAATAGGTACCACTTCAGTGGGAAGGTAACAGCATTCCGTGCGCCTTGGTGTTTAGTCATGCCGGCCACATGACCACGGAAACGTCTTCGGACAGCGCTGGCTCTTCGGCTTTGAAACAGAGATGAGCACCGCAATCCTAGAGTCGGACTCGACTGGCTTTCGAGCAAGGGAACCTTTACCTTTACCTTTAGGCCTCTCAGGCTTTGTCATAGCATATGTTTCTGCAGTGATGATGTTACTTTGAAGGAGAGAGTGCACTGCAGGCTGGTTCACATATGCACATATATTGTTTTGTTCTCTAGATTTGAATATTCTAAAATTGATGTCTGAGGATTGATTAATTTACTCTTGGAAGCTGTGCCTGTGGTGTTATATCCCTGATGACATAATCTCATATGAAAGTCGTGACTGGAATGTTGATGTAAATCATCAGGACCCTGCACTGCAGAGCCATCTTGGGAAATAATAGACACTTGGAAAGCCTGCAGATTTTGGGTGTCAATTTTCAGTACACAGTAAGCATTACAAAAATGCATTTTACAATGCATTTTACAAGCTGGATCCAGCACTTGGTCAATTGTGCTTACAAAAGACCCACAGCATATGCAGGCTCTTCAAGCAGCTACTGTTACCCAGAGGTCATTTGAATCAGATTTCGGACTACATTTGTTTGGATTCCTGTGGGAAAGGGAAGATCTTCCAGGGATATTTTACCCTGTTTGTGAGCAGCAGAGGGACATTTAAAGAGGGTTCTAATCAACATTCTCCTGCCAACCTAGCAGTTCGAAAGCAAGAAATTGCAAGTAGATAAATAGGTACCACTTTGGTGGGAAGGTAACAGCGTTCCGTGCACCTTGATGTTTAGTCATGCCAGCCACATGACCACGGAAACATCTTCAGACAGCGCTGGCTCTTCGGCTTTGAAATGGAGATGAGCACCGCAACCCTAGAGTCGGATTCGGCTGGCTTTCGAGCAAGGGAACCTTTACCTTTACTTTAATCAACATTGGGAGCTTTTCGTCCTTCCCTCAAGTCACCTTCAAATGATGGCTCAGGATCGCAGTTGGCAGGCAGGCCCTGAACTTTGTAGACCTGTATCTCAGTTGCTTGGCCAAACACCACTTATTCCACTTAGTTTAACATCTGTGTTCTTTTGGAACCTGATAGCAACAGATATTTTGAGCAATATCGTAACACTTCTTCAGGCTTTGTGCCTCCTCCTCATTCTCTGCTAAACTTCTTATTGATGAGAGCATAAAATTTTTTTGTTCTGTCTTGTACCTAAAACTCAAAACCCACTCTTTTTGAGGGTGTGAATACTGGATATCAGAGTTTGGAGTGAGGAAGAAAGGAGTTCAGCCAGCGGCAAGATGAGCAGCAGCAGTCAGTAATGCAAACCCCTGACCTCCCTGACAAAGACAATTTTAAAACCTTCATAGACATAGGGCCTGGGGGCAAGGTCATGAAATTCAGCTAATGCCTTAAAACCAGGCCATGTGTGGATCTGTCCCTTACAGATTGACCCATAGAGTCTGGGTCAGACAGGGGGACCAAATACATTGCACAATCCATCTGGCCAAAATGCACTAAGCCAACTTGGCAGCCCACTTAAGAGTCAATAAAGGGTCTCTTGTTGTTCCTGCCCTCCTAAGGACTGCAATTAGTCTAGCACTGCCAAGCTCAATATATGCCTGGCGAGCTGTTTGGCTCCACAGGTCACAAGTTGTGCAGTCTGGAATACCACTGGAAAGTATTTTGAGATAGGCTTGCTCTGCTGTGGGGCTCCACATTCCTGGAGATTTGGGGATGGAGCCTGGAGAAGGCAGGGTTTTTGGAGGGGAAGATCCTCAAGAGGGTATAATGCCACACAGTCCACCTTCCAAAGCCGCCATTTTCTCCAGGGGACCTAATCTCTGTAGTCTGGAAATCAGGTGGCTTGAGTGCATCTCTTTTTTCTCCCACCACTAAACTTACCAAGAGCAAACAGGGGCAGAAGGTTGCCCACCATAGATGGTTTTCCACCTAGGGTTGCCAATCAACAGATGGTGGCTGGAAATCTCCAACTATTACAATTGGTCTCCAGGCAACAGAAACCGTTTACCTGGAGAAAATTGCTACCTTGGAAGGTTGCCCACCACAGGAAGGCAACTGGCAGCCCTACGCCCAAAGACACCCAGTGAGCTTCCATGGCAGAGTGAAGATTCAAACCTGAGTCTCCAAGATACTGTGGTGACATTCTAACCCAATGGCACTTACTCTGCGGCTTGCATAGAGCCAGATTTTCAATTACCATGAACCAAAAGAGCCACACATCACTCCAAAACACACATACAACAACTCATTCTCTCTCTCTCTCTCTCTCTCTCTCTCTCTCTCTCTCTCTGTGTGTGTGTTAGATGCCATCAAGTCACTTCTGACTTAATGGTAACCCTATGAATTAATAAAGTTTTATTCAAGTCTTAAAGGTGCCACTGGTCTCAAACTTTGTTCTGCTGCTTCAGACCAACATGGCTACCCACCCAGACCTATGAATTAATGACTTCCAAAACACCCAGTCATTAACAACCTTGCTCAAGTACTGCAAACAGAAGGCCATGGCTTCCTTTATTGGGTCAATCCACTCCCAGCTTAACACTTGGGCTGCTGCCAGAAAAGCCAGCTGGCTTCCGAGAAGAGAGAGTCAAATCACCACTGCCACCATCTCTTCTTTGAGGCCAGTTTGCTTTTCTGGCAGCAGTGCAGGTGGTGAGAGGGCAACAGCTGCAGAGAAAGGTGGGAGATTGTTGGAGAAAATACGTCCTTTACTTATGTCACTGGTGTAAGGGCCTCAGTTTAGGGAGGCTAGCAGCTCACCCATCCTATAGTCCCGCTTATGGTGGCCATTTTAAGGTTTGAACCTACCACGCAATGCCCTTTCCCACTTTCCAGAAACATGGGTTGGGTGCTGTGGCATCCTGCTCTTGAAACATGGGTTGGGTGCTGTGGCATCCTGCTTATTAGGGAGATGGTTTTACCTTTAAAACACACTCTGTGTACATGAACTTGGTAGATTTCTGCTGCCACCAGGAATTAAAAAATCCAAATCTCTCTCTTTTGGTAGAATGACCTAGGGTCTGGGCACTCAGGAAGGACTATTCAGATTGCTGGGATGTTTAAATGAAAAATGATTTATTTAATAAAGAACAAAATAGGTTTCTGGTTATTTTGAGCTGTTGCTGAAGAAAGGAACTTGTAAATATAACTGGCAAAGCTTGGCGTCACAAACAGTCTCTCAAACTGCACTCTGACAGGCTTAGACACTCAGTCTAATCTCTCTCTCATATATATATAGCCACACGGGCTAAACTCTTTGTCTTATTCACACAGAATAGACTCAAACACTCATAGTCACACAGACTAAACTGTTCGTCTTATTCACACAGAATAGACTCAAACTCCCATAGTCACACAGACTATGCTCTCTCTTCAAACTTCACACACAGAATCACTTCAGAGACATCTCTCCTCCCACACTCTCAGTCATCCACCAATAACATCACACTTATCTTCCTCTGTCACTCTCCTTACATTACTGCAGTCAAACTAAACATTTAAAGAAACACACACACCAAAACAAGAAATCATTACAGGTGCCATAGTGGAGAAGGGTGCTTTGAAAAGCCACAGGCAGCACATCAAAGAGCCACTTATGTCTGCCAAGCCACTGAACAAGTATCACTGCTCTAACCATTACACAGATTAGTAACGGAGGAAGCCAGGAAGGGGTTGAGGGATTGTTTGATTGCTTACAACCATTATAGGAGGTGTTTTAACTAAGTAATCCATGAGAGTAACTTTTAAAAAAATATAATCTACAGATACGTTTGAGCGGTGGCCGTATACCCTCAGAAGGTCGCGTAGAAGTCCTCCGGAATTACAACGGCACGCTTAAATGGGGAGCAGTCTGTAGTGACAACTGGGGCACCTTAGAAGCCATGGTGGTTTGCCGCCAGCTGAACCTTGGCTATGCTGAGCATGCATTTCAGGTATGTTGATGCCTCTTGTTTGGATGGAGGGACATAAGCCCAAGAATAAATAAATAATAAATAAGCAATACTCTCTCAAGAGACTGTATAAGTGTGGGTTTTAACTGGGGATTTGTGGCACCTTAAAGACTAATTTTATTCCAGTACAAACTTTCATGGACTAGTTTAAGCTGGCATAACATTTTGTTAAGATGCCACAAGACTTTCTGATTCTTTTTGCTGCAACAGACTGCATCCTAAGCAGAGCTGCACCCTTCTAAGCTCATTGACCAGTGGATTTAGAGGAGTATAACTCTGCTCTAAGATTGCACCGTACAAACCTACCTTGTGGCTTTATCTGGGCAATGTAAATTGTGATAGAATAAGGCACTTGTGAGCACTTACACCTTGGACACAGTCTGCAATTCTGCAAGGTTCCGATATACATATGGACATTTGCAACACATAAGAACATAGGAACAGCCTTATTGGACAGAGCAATGATCCAGCAAATCCAGGATTCTGTTTCTAGCAGTGGCCAGATGATTTTGTGTTGTCATAAACAGAACATAAGGGTGATTAAGGTCTCTCCTGCTATATGGCCCTAACATCTGGTATTTAGAGATCTATTGTCTGGGGGTCAAACTGCACATTTTTACATGAGTTGCCAATGGGGGCTAGCAGCCATTTTGGATCAGGACCATGGTACAGGGGGGAGGGACTCCCTAGGCTACGATTCCCAGACCACTTCAGCTCCTCCTTTCCCCCATGCCATGGTCCCAATCTGAATTGGGCCCCAGGTGTACTTTTTTATGCAGGAGTTGCCACCAGGGACTTGCAGCTGCAATATGGCTGCAAATCCCCATGGCAAACTCATGTAAATCATAAGGCCCTCTCTTTAACTCTCCTGACAGTTTTCAGCTGTATCTTCTGCAATTTGTCTAAGTCCAAAGCAACAAGCTGCTCCCTTGACCGTGTTCCGTCCACAGAACAGGGAATCCCAATCACATGAGTCTTTCTGGTAGACAAACAAGGAAATCCTCAAATTCCTGTCCCTCATAACTCCTTTAATGCGCTATTTAAACTAGTCCTTCATCTAGTCCAGGAGTCCCCAGTCTTTTTGAGCCTGCAAGTACCTTTGGAATTCAGACTCAGGATGGTGGGCACAAATACAGAATGGCTGGAACACGGGAGGCAGAGCCAACCACAGAATGTTAAGGTTATGCATAACTCTAATAGGAACACTTTAACATTTCAGGCAGAAGCTCTGTTTGATATCTTTTAAGATATCTTCTAAGATATCAGAGTGAGATCCAGTTTGGTGTAGCGGTGAAGAGCTGCGGACTCCAATCTGGAGAACCAGGGGCGATTCCTCACTCCTCCACATGAAGCCAACTGGGTGATCTTGGGCCACTCACAGTTCTCTCAGAGCTCTCTCAGCCCCACCTAACTCACAGGGTGTCTTTTGTGGGGAGAGGAAGGGAAGGTGTTTGTAAGCTGCTCCGAGATGCCTTCGGGTAGTGAAGGGCAGGGTATAAAACCATTAAAACTGAACATATTTAAAACTATTTGCTTGCAACCATACAGCTTACCTTCAGTCACTCACTGAAGATCCTTGTGCTTTGGTGGGAGCTGCTGCCAAAGGCATTTTGGTTTACTAATCTGCTCAGCCAGTCAGAAGGCCTGCTGGGCAGAAGGCCCACATGGCCCTGCCTACTTTCTAAAAACACTTGATCGGCACCAGGAAGGTGGTGGGCACAAGGGTGCCTGCGAAAAACCAAATGTATTGGCTGTCAACTTTTGTAGGGTGAGTTATTGTGCTAATATGAAGCAAGTTATGTAGTTTGCAGTATCCATGGAAAATTCTGGAAAGTACCAAGCCAAATTGTGGTAGAAGCCAGACAATATAATAGCTCTGCAACAGCAGCAGGATCTAATATAGAAACAAAAGATCCCAGGAGGATACTTAGGATTAAATAACACTGAAGCAAACAAGAGAACCAGACCACCCCTATTTTAGTGAGCCTGCACTAGAAGAAGGGGTACTAAAACCACTTCACAGAGCTTTATTAAGGGTATCACTTTTGCCTCAATAATGTCCACTGGAATCCCACACAAGAATCTCCCTCCTTGCTGTGCCTCCAGCTCTAATTGAACCTGCCACCAGCTGTGCTATGCTGAGTATAGTATTTATTAATTACATTTGTGTCCCACCCTTTATCAAAGGAGCTCGGGGTGGAGTACGTAAGGATTACTTCATTTGAGGAACAGGCCCACTGGCTCCTTCAAAATCCAGACTTGTTTTGGGGATGAGTGAGCAACCATTCGCTTTCTGAGATATTCTGCAGTGCTGTGGCAAAGGGTCAAATGACACATCTCTCCCTTATAATAAAGCAGTAGTGGGGACCAACGTTCTAAAATGCCCGCCTTTAGTGTTTGGCCGGAAGAACTGCCACTCAGAAGACACTGGCTGGGTTGACTGGCTGCTTTGTGCAGTCCCGCCCAGTGTTCCAAGGTCATTTGCATATGGAAGCTGATTGGACTTCACTCCATTCCACACCTCAAACGCCCCCCCCCGCAAGGCAGTTGGAATTTTCAGTTGCATATGGGAACTACTGTATTCTGAGGTAACATATGTCCTCACTCACAACACATCACTTCCCCTTTAAAAGAAACAAACCCAATAACACAATCACGCCACACCACAAAGAAGACAGATCACACCACAAGCAGAATACCTCAAGGCAAAAAATGATAGGAAAAGGTGCCAGCAGTCACCCCATTACTGCCACAGATGGTGTGCAGGTCCCAGGTTCATGTTTTAAAAGCTGCCTGGGGGACTATGGACCATTCACACACTTTCAACCATAACATACCTCATAGGATAGTTGTGCGGATCATACGGGGGAGAGGAGAATGATGTCAGCTGCTTTGGTTCCCACTGCAGGGAAAGACTGCCCTTTCCCTAGGCAGAGGCTGGTAGGTCCCAGGATCATGTTTTAAAAGCTGCCTGGGGAGATGGGGACCTCAGACAGGTTACAGTGCCATAGACTCCACCCTCCAACCCAGCTATTTGCTCCTGGGGAACTATTGTTGCCAATCTTGGCCCAGCACCCATCAAACCATTCTCTTCAACCCCCTGCTGTGCAGCACACTTTCCCCTAGGGTTGCCAAACTCCAGGTGGGACCTGGAGATCTCCCACTGCTACAATTGATTTCCAGATGACAGAGATCAGTTTCCCCTGGAGAAAATGGCTGCTTTGGAGGGTAGACCCTATGACATTATACCTGCTGAGTCCTTCCGCCCCCCCGCCCAATGCTGCCCTCTACAGAATCCACCCCCAAAACCTCCAGGTATTTCCCTCCTTAGAGCTGGCAACCCTACATTCCCCTCAGTGCCTGTTGGTAGGCAACTAAGCTTGGTCCTGTCACCTACTTTGGCCTTTGGGAGAAAACACATTGGGGCCAGTCCTGATAGGGTTGCCAACTCCCGATGGGAAATTCCTGGAGATTTGAGGGATGGAGCCTGAAGAGGGTGAGGTTTGAGGAGGGGTGGGACCTCAGACAGGTACACTGCCATAGACTCCACCCTCCAAACCAGTCAGTCCCACATAGGGAACCCTTGTTGCCAATCTCCAGGTGAGGGCTGGAGAGCACTCAGAATTACAACTGCTCTGCAGAAGGGAGGGCAGAAGTCAGCTGAAGTCAAAGGGGCAGATAATGGTAGGTTGATGGTTAGCTGGGAAGGAGATGGGGTTGCCAACTACATGCTGACAAATTCCTGGGGATTTGAGGGGTGGAGCCTGGAGAGGGTGGGGTTTGCGGAGGGGTGGGACCTCAGACAGGTAGAATGCCATAGACTACACCCTCCAAACCAGCCATTTTGTCCTGGGTAACAATTACTGCCAATCTCCAGGTGAGGGCTACAGATCACTCACAATTACAACTGCTCTTCAGGTAGCAGAGATCAGTTCCTCTGGAGAAAACAGTGGACTCTGTCATTATACCCTGCTGAGGTCACCACAGCAAATTGACACTGTTTGCCCACTGCCCCAGAGCCTCTTTCTAGATCTCGTTGTATTGCTTTCACAACGGGCTTTACTGCTAGTGAGTTATATGACTGGAACGTCAGATATCTTTGGACTCTAAAAAGCAGTCATGGAAGGAAGGAATCTTTACCAGAAGTTATCTCTCTCTCCCCCCCCCCAACCCATACAGTTTCCTCTGTCAGAAGGTACCCCTCCAGACTGTAGAGAATAAAGGCAGGCACAACATTTTTTCCTGTAATCTGAGAGCTGGAAGGGTCATCTAGTCCAAGCCCTGCCAATGCAGGAACTACAGCTATAGTATCCCCAACAAGTAGGTATCCAATCAATACATTAAAAACCTTCAACGACAGAAGTAGGATTGCCATTCCCCGGGTCCGGGCGGGAAATCCCCCAACCACAAACAGCGTCGTCCCCAATGCGATGATGTCACCTGGAAGTGCCATATCGTGTTGAGGAGGTCACATGGCAACAGTCTGGTTTTTGTACAAAGCTCTATGGTTTGACCCTGATTTTACCATAGAGTTTTGCCCAAAAACCCCCTGATGGCACTGATGCAATGATGTCAGTTCAGGGTGACATCATCACGTTGGGGACGTCGCTGTTTATGGGTGGGGGATGACAGCACATCAGGGATGTCCCCATCGGAAGACAAGGGGACCTGGCAACCCTACCATGAAGAAATCTGTCCTCAAATTTAGATGAAACCCCCTTTGCCGTAGTTTATATCTGTTAGTCTGAGTCCTGTCATCCAACAGCATGGGGGAAAGGTTTAAGCCCTTCTCCCCAGCCACTGTGGTACCAATCTGACTCAGGTCCACATATGCTTGGGAAGCATGGAACTCCCAGATCACATCAGTCGATAGTTCACGGGTCTACAATGTGGACTTTGTAATGTGTGAATCAGGTCTGCTGTCAGGGTTGCCAGCGCTCTGCTGGCAATTCCTGGTAGATTTTTGTGGGCAGGCTCTTTAT